TTCAGCAGTTAGTTAAAAAAAAACCCTCACCGTAAAACAAGAATCTTAATACATGGCACTAGCAACAGAGACATACCCTTTGCAAATTTGTGGCTTCTTTGAATTATTAAGCAAATTAAGATGGTAAAAAGGCAAGGAGAACATCTCACCAGATCTATTCACTTCATTTCTTCCTTGATTTGCAGATATGAATAACAACCAGTGTAGCTGTTCATACTCTAATACGCAAGCTGCACTGCAATTTGCAAAATCATCTCGGAAAGATGAATTAGTGCACTTAAAAATTCCTTTAAAACTTTGTGAAGGAAAGGTGTTCCTTGCATGATTTTTGCAAGTACTAGCGAAGTGTTAGCTTTTTGGAGAGAAAAGCTCACCTCACTGGAAACAACTGGGAAGAATTCATTCTTAGAAGTCAGAAGTGCCTTATCTCCCCTCAGATCAGTAAGAAATGAAGCTACGCGGTTCCTGGGGTGATTTCAGGGGAATGCTCTTTGAGAAAGTGAAGCTATCTCATGTAATTGTAAGAATTAGGAGGCATCATGAGACGTTTGTGAGACTTGGGTAGAGAGGGAAGGGAAGGATGCGGTTCTGCATGCTCGTAGACTTGGGACCTCCTCACCAAAGGGCTTTGTGGGATGCAGAATGTTTGCATGGGTTCAAGGGCAGATTGGGCATTCATCAATGAGAAATCCCTTGCGGGCCATAAAATACAGGGAGTCCCTGAGCTGGAAATAATCAGAGGGTGGGAAAGAATATGAGAAAGTAAATATGTGACCTGTTTTGACTCTTCCCTGTGCACCTGCTTATGGCCTCTCTAAGAGAGAGGACAGTGGGTAAGGTGGAGCATTGGTCTGATTCAGTACAGTCTTAAACCAAAGGCTCCTCCAATGTAATGCCTCTTCACCGAAAATTTTGCCTTCAGAAAGGCAACAGGCTTTCATCTACACAGACAACTCAGTGTCTTCTCTGACTCTTAACTTGCTTTATTTTTCTGTAACGTTGAGGCCTGAACATTATATTTAGCCTGACTGGAATTTGGCAAGTAACTTCCCTTTTAACATTGTTTTTTGTCTCTTCATTGGATAGTTAGATTGTCTGGGGATTTTATTCAGCAGAATGCATTCCCATAAATATATTTAAAATAGACAGAATCACTGTTTGTATTAAGGCGTCTATTTAGGTTATTTGAATTTAGATCTGAACATGCAAAAAACTGAACAAGGGAGAAGATTGCATGGGGGATTTTCAAATGAGAGGAAGACTGAAAATGCGTTGAAAGCTTTTGGATGTGGAAGTACGTGGCATTGTGGACAGTTGCAGTGGAGAATATAATGCAACAATAAAATCATTAAAGTACTTCAAGTTTGGAAGTAATCTGGGTTCTTGGCTTGCATTGCATTTAATAGCTTTACATTTATGGGAGCCATTCCAGTTTTTAAAGGCAGCTTTAGCCTTCAGACTGATTGCACTTACCACCCCAGTGAAACTGCAACCCATTAATTTTTTACCGAAAGGATCTTCCTAGTTTGTCAAACACATCAAGTGAACATTTTAGAGAGTGCAGACCACAGCAGTATGAAAACCAAAACTTTATATCGAGAGAGAATGCTGGATTAGCATGCAATAAGGGTCTGATTCTGCTAATAAGCACTTTAGTAAATTCACTGCTATACAAAACTCCATTAAAACCAGAGATACCACATATTTGAGTGAAAACCGTCAGGCAATACCAGGACCTACAGAAGTCTCTTGTGCTATCCCAGCACGGAAAGGCCTGCAGCGATTCTCCTCTGGGACGGAGAGCAGCGCAGGTGACCCCAGCACACTTCTCCCTGAGCACACGTCGTGGCCGTCCTGCCTGGCAAGGAGCCCTCTCCCAGCAGCCCAGTCCCCTACGTGTTTATATCCCCATCACGAAGACCAAACCTTTCCAGTGTCTAAAACCAAACTCTCGCTCTCTAAAACGTTTGCACATTTCTATGTTAAACATCTGCTTAGGTGGCTCTGAGACAGTGTGTTTTGGTGTTGTTCGTGTGCAATCTAGTGCCGCTTCCTCAACGCATGTGTCCCTTCCCTTCACAGCCTACTCGACACCCAGCACCTCCCCCGCAAACCGATTCGTCAGTGTTGGACCACGGGATCCAAGCTTTGTAAATATCCCTCAACAGACTCAGGTGGGCCGCTTTCGACTTCTCTGTATGCCTGCAGCCTCTTCTTCTTCAGTGTACTCTAACGTGTCCCCGCGGAGCCAGCTGCATTGCCGCTGTCACTTCACCCACATGGTCTCAGTAACTACAGTGAAATGTCACTTGCAGTTTGTTTGTCTGTTGTGTTTTTTTGGGCTTATGTAGTAATAACGCTGCTTTCGTAACTGGAAAGATCTCTCTTGCTTTCTAAGATATTGGCTTCTAGTGCACAGTTTTTTACCTCTAGGACTGAGTTTTCAAAGACTTTTGCTCCAACCTGTTCCCTAGGCAGTGCATTTAATTGCATATGCAAAAGGAGCTCAGAGAGACCCATCAGGTAACAGTGCACCTTAGTCCACCACCAAATACAACGGGAGACTGCTCCAATGACTTCCACGTAAAAAAATAGACTCGAATTCCTGGTTGGCCATTTGCATGGTGGGCTTTGAGCGAGCAGGAGATTTTGTAATTGCGAGCACATCTGTTTCCTTACACAAAGAGAAAAAAGTCCAGTTGAGGCAGGCCTATAAAGCTGGGTTAACTGAATTCATAGTCCTGCTATGGTCAAATCAGAAGCTCAAGTAAACATTTGTGTTTCTTTAGGAGAAGGACGAGGTTTAAATGTGCTTTTTCCAAGCCGTATCAAATTCCCAGGGTCGATTAAGAAAATAGTTGTTGGCAGTTTTGTTAGCAGCTAATTTGAGCCAGATGTTGAAAAAATTAAGCCTGTGCTTAATATCACGTTATCATGGGGGAGAAGGTATAAAAAAGTAAGCAGAACTAGTGCTTTAGGACAACTGTAGTTTGTAGTTTTAAGTGATTGCTTGACTACGTTACAATTCTTTTAAAGGTCAACAGCAAGAAATACTTGTAATTTTGTTTTGAGCTGGTGGCGATAACTGAAAAGTAATAATTCAAATAACTAGCAAATTGGGGAGTACTACTCTTAGCTCTTGTAAGTTCTTTCAAATCGTTTATATGCATCTGAATAATTAGTGTACAAACTAATGGTTGTCACATGCCACGGTCCAGTATATGCATGAAGACAGACTCCTCCTTGCGATGGCTTCAGCACCTACGCTGTCAATGAAACACAAGTCATTCATTACTGAAGATTTTCAGTTTACAGGGCTGCAACCAGATGCCTGTGAACAGAACATGTTTTCTTGCTATCTGTTCTTTGTGTACTAATTTGTTAGGGGCTTTAGTTTATAGCTGTGTCGACAGCACAGGTTAAACTACATCGAATCTCAAACATTCTCTGCATTAAATAGGGTCACAGAAAGTACACTAGCAGTGCAGAGTGGGGTTTTAACCCATCAGTTTCTGATTTTTTTTCATGCCTTAACAAAACGCAGCCTGCACCCCACTTTTTAGGCCTCTTCCTTTATTCGGTTCATGTACGTGACAAGTTTTCATGCACCTTCACATTTAAATCATATTTCTCCGGTTGTTTTGGAAACAACTAGAATACACAGAAATACACTGAAATCGGGAAACAGGAATGTTAAGGTATGCTGTTAAAGTCCTTAAGCATTTGGTCTTTTCCTTCATAGCTCAGGAAACTTGAAACCCTTTAGAGAATGCTACTTACCTTTTCCAGAAGACTTGAAAAACTACTTGTTGGTAAATTGATTATGTAGTAAGACACAGCAGTACCAAGTCTCAAAAATATTTTAAACTTATTTGCATCCTGCAGCCTAGGTTTCCCAGATAAGTTTGTTGACTGTAAACTTTTATCCTCCTTATTTATGACTTAAATCATTTTAAAGAGCTCTAGCCTTACTTTAAGTGCTTCTGTGTAATGCAGTATAGTGAATAACAATGCTGTACAGTGAAAAACAATACTCAAGCACAGCTTTCAATTAAAGTCAAACATACTGCAGTCGGTAAGGAGACTGACTTCCAGTCTCTGACTCCAGCTGCATCTCCGTGCTTCTATACATCATTACACCACCACAACCCACTTGATACTAAATATATAATTTATCAGCAAAACTCACTACTTATTCATGAAACAACTCTGAAGTTGACTGTGTTTTAAATCAGAGAAGTGAGGTAAAAATACTGCTGCAATGATTTGGGATTTACTCAGCGTTCCTCTAAACAAAGACATGCTTTTGTACTCTTTTTGCAGGGCATTAGTGTATAGGACGATCACTTAGGATATTTTCAAAATGAAAATATAAAAACACATAGGACTATGTTATTAAAAGCAGCTGGGGTGGCTGCTTTCCATCAGGATTTTTATAGTACGTTCAGAGTCAGCCTAAGATATGGGTCCTGAGGACCACTAACTGCCAGGCCACACAGCTCCCTTAGACAAGGGGAAGCAATGAACATTCAGCTTCTGAAAGTCAAGCTTCAATACAAGGGTTAAGCAACTCTTTACTGCTGGAACAACAAAATAAAAATGAAGACTGTATCTGAACATCTGCTTTTTTAAAATTACGGTCCAGCTACAAACTATAAGAAAACATTATGGTCAGCTTTTTGGTGGCTCTGATTTTCTTTTCCAATTGGTGGGTCATTTGACTACAAGCATGAGTTATGCATCATCGTTATTAGTCTTAAAATGCTGCAGAAGTGAGTCTGTGCACAGGGATGTGACAGCGCCCTTCAGCAGAAGTCGCATTTCCCATACATGGGCATTCACGGGCTTTCACAGAACGTTGGAATAAAATCGCAGACAAATGTACAACAGCATGGCTGGGTTTGAGCAAGGATCATTCTGTCCTGGGCTGTTTTTAAACAACCAAAACCAGTACATGCCTTTCTTAATGGGCATTATAAAAATTAGCAGTAGACATTTCCATTAGCAGCATGTTCTGATTTATGTCACATTGCTTCAAATATAATCCCTTAAAGGAATTATAGAATTTATATATTTTATTTAGAAAAAGGCCGTCTTCCTGTGTCAACAAAGGTTGTAGCAGGACGACAGCTCCATGACAGAAGAGACCAGGAAATAAACTGAGTTAAGTCAGTAGTTTTGATTCAGTAACAAAAGCCCCAAAAGAGCTGTTGGCTTTGTCTGGTTTTAGCAGCTTCAAAACTTTTCAGTTGGTTTCTTTTTCATACACTGCCTCTGCTTACCCCATCCATCACTCTGCCACTCCAGCGGCTCACCGCATAATTGTCCTATCTGGGGGGTTATTTGAATCTGAATTTCTGTTTGAGCTATTAGAAGAAACACTTGACTTGGCATCCTCTGTATATGTTGACAAAAAGGCACAGGTGTTGTAACCTTTGCTTGATAAATCATTTACTTTTGCTACTTGACTCGCAAGCAATATGGGGGCATCAGCTTTTTAACTGCCTTTTCCATATGCAAATCAGAAATACAGTATGCCTAGGCTACACAGTCTTTAGTTTCAAAAGCAAGCTGGTCTAGATACCTCATGACTAAGTAATAGATACATCTCTCATATTGCCAAGGACTTGTAATAAGAAGAGTGGTAGAGGAATGGGAAAGTACCATCACATTAATTAGGGACTAGCCTATTAGTAGCAACAACACTAATAAAGAATACAGGGTTCTGAGTTTTGGGGTGGTTTTTTTCCTAACCAAGCGATAAAAGTAATTGTGAAACACAGGATATGCACTCAGATTACGTGCAGCTGGTAACACTAAACTAGCAACCTGCTCTTTGTGACCAGAGTTTGCGTTGTCACTCACCACTCTAAACGGCGTTTGCTGATCTCTAATGCCCTGACTTTGCTCTACAGTACAAAATTCCTTCAGGGAACACTGTGCTGTATTCAGTATGCTGGAGCTCCACTTCACACTAAACATTGTTTACTAGGCTGAGTCCTGTTTGCCACCTACTTACCCTACATCTTCCTGGAAATTGTACTTCGGATGCTAAAAACAGCTCCTGAGCAACACACGCCTGCTCCATCTAATCACTCCTACCTGCCAGTAGCCCGTGTGCCTTACACAGTAAGGTTATGAGGATGCACAGAACAGAAACCACCTCCCACTGCAGGCATCCAGCCAGAGGATCAACTGCTTTACCACCTGTGAGAAACTAAATGGTTTTCTTCTCTGCTTAAGAGAGAAAGTGTATCATGCACCCTCTTGTCCAGCTGTTTCAGGAAAAATCCCTCTCCAATCTAAACATGCTTTATATCAGATCCATCCCGGTTAGTTTATAAAACTTAGTTAAGCGCAAAACCAAATATTTATTCCCTTACCTTTCTCTAGGAAAAGATAAAACTATTTTCTAGAAGAATAGAAGTAGAAGCTCTTCCTGCTTCTGCCTTTGCACGATCCCAGAGCTACAGTCAGGTCATGGATAGTAAGCCAAGGTCTTGTCTTTTCACACTTTTCCTGGTGGGGCCCTAGAGCTACACAGCTTCAACAGTCCTGTAGATAGAGCTCATCCTTTATAATGCAAAACAATTGAAACAAAAGGCCCATAACTTAACCTAGCACAACGCAATAAAGTAACAGAAAAACCCCAAAAGTCAAACAAGCTTATCTAGGCAGCAAAATGATCACAGTATGAACACCAGCAAGCGCAGAAGCACAGCATGCTCTTGCTACCAGCCTTAAAAAGACCAGGTACAAAAATGCATGCTGTGAAACACATCTGTAAAAGAGTAATGCTGCCCTGTAGTAAGTTAGGGGGGAAAATAACTGAAGTTTAGCAAAAGGGGTACTATGTTTGTAGTATAAGGAAATTGCTGACTTCTTTAGATCTCCTTCTGTTCTCTGCCTTTCCTGAATTAGACAGTGGTATCTTTGTAACTTCTTCTTTTAGGCTTTTATTTATCTCTAAAAAACCACCTTACGCCTCAGGTGCATATACAAACCTAATTGTACAATTACTTTCTTTTCGAGAGACAAGGGAAAGACTATTTTACTTCCCCACAATCCTTTTAGAAAGCAAACTGCAACCTGCAATTTTTCACTGGCAGCACTTTAAAACAAAGGGCATGAGAAAAAAATGAGCTTTATGCTGTGTCCTGTAGGTTAGCAGATG